AGTACCTCACCTGCGATGTACCCAATCCCTACCGTTGCTGTCCGTGACGAAGTCTCCATCATGATTATTGATGTCCGTGTCCAGTAGCTACGTGGGAGCAACCTGGTCTACACCACAGCCCTCTGTACTTACAAGGACGGCCTCCTTCCCAAAACCGTCGCCAACGTCGATCGCCACATCCCACGATATCACCACAGCAGACTCCTTCGGCGGGATGCTCAAAGATAAGCTCCCGATCAGAGCTGGCGAATCTCCCTCATCCTCTTCCTCTAATGATTGTTGAGCAATATTCAACCGCAGTGTATTCCCATCATCAGCTTGGCCCCTGAGCATCTGAAAGTTATCCAAACTCGTTGTCTTAGCAAGGATATGCTCACAGCAATACCCCCTCATGGGCCTCGCCCCCATCCGCTAACGACACCTTCAAGATTAACAATTGAAAGAACAAATTAGATGAATGAAACTTGATTCTCGACGAGTGAAAGGAGTTTCTCACGAAATGAAAGTTCAAATTCGAAATAAAAGTTCAATTTTCGTAAACCAGTCGAAAATGAAAGTTCAAATTCGTAAATGAAATGCTCTACGGGCTGCACCGTAATGCCGAACAGTACAGTGCAATTCACAAACTTGCAACGGAGGATTTTCAGAGATTCAAACCGGGAGATTGTTCGGGTTCGATTCCCCGACGGAGAATGTCCATTACCCTTCTGATGATATCGGAAGGATAATGGGGTCGGCACATGTTCGGTTCGGTTTTCGAACCGCCGAACCGGACTAGCCGAAGCGAACTTTGATGGACCGAATACCGAACCGGACCAAACTTCTACGAAAAGTTCGGGTTTCGGCGGGTTACATCGGTCCCGGACCGACGGGCCGACGGACCGACGGGACCCAACACTCCGGAGAGCCACTCGTGAAGTGCACTCTGTGCAATAACTGTTCACATTTGATAAGTACCTCGAGCAGTCTTCGCACATTGTGCGAGTTGTCAACCCGTGGAGTGTGAATAGCGCATATCGAGATGTGGTGAAAGTGAGCTTTCATTGGTCGAAATTGGTCTTGTGTTCGACGAATTTGAACTTGCGTTTCCGAATTCATAAATTTTATTCACGAATTTGAAATTTCACTTTCGACCGGTCTACGAAAATCGAGCTTTCATTTCGAATTTGAACTTTCACTTCGTGAAAAACACCTTTCACTCGTCGAAAATCAAATTTCATCTATCCAAATGGTCCTTTCACTTGCTGAATTTGAGATTGAAAAGGTGTAGTCCCCACGCATTCTATTAGCAGCTTGCTTACTGTAGGAGTGATGGCCACCTCCGGTCGGCAGGATCGAATCGATCTAACATATGGTGCCTCCGGACAATCGGGTCGGAATATGTAGGCCCCCGAGGCTTGGCCTTGACGTCCGTAAATGTCACTCCCATAACCCACAGAGCTTTCATAGTATGCAAGGGTGACGTTAAACTTGACCTGGGGGAGGTTGGAGATACGAAACTGCCCGGAACCCACCTCTAAACCAGCCTTTAAGTTCTTCAAAGTGAAGCGGTACGGTCCCCCACTGCCCCCATCTCCTTCATAAAATAGCTTGTAGTTTTCGTTGCCAACACTTGTTCTGGACGGGCCAGAGGACCGGCCACTAAGCTGTTGCTCTTGTTGTGGGCAGGTTGCTGTTTGCCCGTTGGCTCCGGAAGTGATCCTGTTGAAAGTAGCTCATCTACAGAATTTTCAGTTCGATTGAAGTTTCAAGCCTAATTTTCAAGAGAATACCCATTGCTCCAATAACGTATGCAAATTGCTGATAAATTGCCCAAGAGTTCATCGAGTTACCCTCCTCATCAACAGAGGAATACGAATCACATTCATCAGTTGTAGGGGACGACCTTGAGACTGACAGTAGCAATGAGCTATTGTCGAGGGGGTCCTCTCGGTACATCACATTAAATTTGAATCACTATTGGATTAATCACTTTGGGTGATATTTCGATACTCTGGGTGAATTGTTAAAGCGATGGAAAGTTCCATTTTCAATTTGAGCTGGAAATGCTGTAGTAGTATTGGTTGGGCGCCTTGTACCGGTAGATTGCCGACCCCATTGGAGGGACATCCTCTGCTGTGAAGTATAGTGTAGGGGCAGGGGTGCCACGATGGTGGTCGTTATCAGTCACCCAGCTCTGGTCATGGTGAGAGGAATGAGTCGTTGATAACATAGAGGAGCTCCTACCTTTACACTCTGCCTGCTTGCCGCCTTCTCAACAGCGACTGCCACCCCTTGGCAGTGGCGCTTCAATGACCCCATAAGGCTTCTCTGAACCGAATGACGCTCGATACTATCATCAGCCTCGGGAGACTCCGCTTCTTGCTTCGGTGACGCAATGGGCACCGATACGACGGAGGTGATGGGGTGACTAAGGGGATTGTAGACCGCTATCAAAACCGAGAAGGGTCTTGTCGAAAGTTCTTCGGTCCAGGAACATATACTCTCATTGAGGAGAGGGCAGTAGCCACCACCATTGGTAAGACCAAACCTCGACATGGTCTCGGGGATGACAATGGATTCCATAACCTAGCAGGAGATGATGGTGCCCGACTGTGCAGGTGCCTTTTACCCCTTCTGTTGCCTCGTGCAGTTTCTTACAGTAGTCATCATCAACATGCTGCTTCTCGGTGCCAGTAATAGCATCATGATGCTGAGCTATACCAACAGCGTCGGTCATCCTCTCTAACACAACCGTGGTGGAGAAGTTCCTTCAGTCTCCTTCAACACACCAAGACTCCGGAGTTGATCCTGTTGAGCTCTGTGGACGGCTGTGGCCACCAACTGCCTCGCGGCAGTATAAGTCCTACCCGCGCCTCGGACCATACCCTTAAAGTTGGGCCGAGATGTAAAGTATCTGGCCCTATTGTGATACCAGTCAGCGCCACGCATCCGTACCCGGTCCAATAAGCGTGACCGCCGTCGACGGCTTCTACGGTGCGCTTGGCCACATCCAGAACTTTCACGTACCCATCTCCGTAAGGGAAAAAGTCCTCATCGCTGTCTTTAATAGGGAGGCCGACACCACCATCATATTGCGCATGGCGGGACTTGATGTAGATCCTGTGAGGGATGACTTCAGCTGAGGTAAAAGGAATTGCGGCCTACCTCGGATTACTGTAGAAGACGTTGAGAATGTGACTGCTATCTCTCGGGTTGCTCAGCTGCTGGTCGGCCACTAACTTCGAATAGTGAATGAGCTTGTCCATGTTTTGAAACCAAGTCTTCGCCTGTTGGTAGTTGAAATCCATACCCTGACGGAGGGTTCATACACTACACAATGAGGCACCTCTGAGGTATACATATCAGACAAGATAGCGAACATGACTCCGTGGGAAATAGCCCTCATCCCCGGGGGACAGCGTAAAGAGGAAGCCGCTGCACATGTTAGGTTCCACTCGGAACCTCGCCTCGAAAGTGCGACCGTCTCCTTTAGGTGAGTCACATCAGAATCCGTTCGCCCTCACCATCGTTAGGATGATATTCTGGCTTTTCCCACTCTCTCCGTTCACTGGGTTGTAAGACTTAGCCTGGTCAAAGCATATCTGTGAGGGCCCACAGTCTGAGACTGAGCCTTCCTGCCAGAGGAGGCCTCACATCGCGCAGGGAGTCCAACTTATGCGTGACGTTGACGTCCTCAAGCATGGGGTCATCCTGTACAGGTGGATCATAACCGAGCACATCGAAATTGAATCCTGTGGGAGGAGAGTACCTTGAGACTAGTTACCGTAAATGGTGAAGCCTGCTAACCTTACATGTGCATGAGCCCCATGAAAATCCCATCGAAGTTGTCAACGGTATGTGAACTATTCCCTTTCCTCGTGCGATATACCTGTAGACTTTTACACCGTCCATTTTGAATGGGAACGGGATCACCATCTCAAGAGCTCCAGTAGCCTCTCTTATCGCCATGTCTTGAGCATCAGCTCGGCCAACAAGCCAACCATCGAAGCACATCTAGAAACAGTCTGGTGTCAGCACTCGCTACTACTACTACTACTACTACTACTACTACTACTACTACTACTACTACGGCACCTTTACCTCCCTAAAGGCTTTATTCTGGAAACTGGAGTGACCAAAGGGATCTATTTGCCATCCCACTCGAGGAGAGGCATCCGTGGAGAACTCTGTAGCGATCTTCAGTGCGCCTGAAGGTGGTCTTTAGCAAGCACGAGGCCAGCGTCGCTACCTGCAGTGTGTTGGTCGATGATATCAGTGTACAGAGTTGCGGCCTCATCGTTCATGACCCAACCAGCATTGATGAACTCGAGTCGGCCTTCAGCCACCAGTTGCCTCACGATTCTCTTTGTGGCTTGGGACTGTCGTCTCCACCATCGGACGAAGAACGCCTAGTGAGGCGGTGAGAGCTTCTAATGCAATAGATCCTCACTATCTCGACGTAGATGAATTTTCTGTTTTTGTCCAGTTGTAGCTCGGCGATAACCGAATCTAGTATGAGCCCGACGTTAGCGTTCTGGATGGCGTTTCGGCTGCCTGAAACGGGGCAAATGTCCCCTAGCAGCTATAGGAGGGTCTACCAGCAAAGTACTGGTCTACAGTCTTCAACCATCCAAGGTCGTTATGGGTGTGGGGAACCAAGTGTACCTTGGCAGCAAACTAGGAATCACCGAAGGCTCTATTTCAATCAGTGGCTACATTGATAACGCGGGGGTCATCAATGATCGGACCACCACTGGTGTTGTATGGCCCTCCGGGCGAGAGTGGTATTTCCATAAGGTTACCGTCCACCCTCAGCATCGTGGTCTTAGCCTCTCTGCTGGTATCATCGACGGCTGTGGCGATCGCTGTCAAGAGTAGGATGAAGTGAAGTACGATCGCCATACGTTGAGAGGGGTTACTCAACAACAGAGGAAACGTGAACCACGTCTTAACTCCAGAAAGTAGCCATGGTAGAGGAGCGCTGTGCAAGAATGTACGGCCAAAGTCCATATACGCAGGAACAATGCATCGATATCCACATCATTGTATAACGAAACGGCGAGCAAGCCTTAACCTCCGTGTCTTGCACGCATCCTCTCATATGCTCCGTATCTGCTTAGAGCTCCTTGTGCTGATGATACAAACGAGAGCATCGCCAGACCTGATTACCTAAGACCCCCCATCGCAAAATATCCTCCAACGCCGTACAAGCCTGAGATGAAGGCCACGGAGAATCTCCATCTGAATCTTCACAACGCTACACGTGGGTTTACTGAAGAGTACCATTTACGTACGGAGGGTCACGGGAGATGATATTTGCGTTTCTGGCGAGCACATCCTGGCTTTGTGTTATGTGTTCACGTGTGTCGTGTATGGGTTCACGTGTGTTTCGTGTTGGTTATGTGTGCTAGATTGTTATGTTTTACGGCTCAGCATTCGATTATGTTGTGTTGGGAACCATCGCACCATTTCTCAGTTATACGGGCCTGGTCAACCGAGATATACATCATTCCTAGCTCAATCTAGTGTGATGGTAAAATACTTTGCTTCTACCCTGATCACCCAGGTTCGATACAGACTTCCGTCCTGTAAAAAATCATATTCGAATGATGGCTAACTCAGTTGCCCCTCTCTCACAGTCTCCTGTGTACAGGCGGCTTCACTGTTATGAAACCTCATGAAAAGGATAATAATACGAGTAAATTAAACTGGAGCTGTTTCCAGCGAAGCACTAGACGACGAACTGCTTGAGCACAAAGTGTGTGCACGCGTGTTGCACGAAGTATAATTAACTGTTCATCGCCCGGGACAATTGATATAATCACTGCCCAGGAGCGAACTACAGTGCCCGCTTTTCCAAGTCCAACTGGAAAGGAAGTATCCCTTTTCAGAGTTGGAGAAGAAAGTGCGTTAGTGACGCAGGGGATATTTGCGCGACCTCCATGCCCCGGAGGATGGAAGCCGAATGGAATGCCAATTGTAGAGCTAAGACAAGTATATTGAAAAAGACATTGATCAAACCGATCTTCGACCCTGTACGTTTCGATCATTTGACAACGACGAGAACTAAGTAAGGCTAAATAAAGGGATTCCAACAACAACAACAACGACTCCTTGCCTACTGTAGGATACTCAGGTGTCACCCGATTCGGAGATTGGACCACACTTGAACACGAGACACTGTAATGAGAACTGTTATTCTTTGACAACTACTGGGCCCTGGTAAGTGTAATTGTATGAAATACGACGAGCAAAGCCTGATCTCAGATCCAGACTCATACATCTGACTGACTCCCGCAGACTGATCTCGAGACAAAGGATGCATACCGAGCTTCGCGAGCTTGCAGTGTTGATGCCGATGTATTCCATGATGATATAATGTATAACAGCACAGATAATCTCGAAATAGCAATATAATGCCCGGATCCACCACAGACAGTGCACAACCAGTCGATGCACAGCATAGGATACTCCTTATCGATAACTGAAACAACAACACTCCGTCGTGAACCCATGAGAGTAAAAGCAGTGACACTGTAGTCATGCGGGACACTCGACAGAAGGAAAGACTCACTTTATATCCGAATGGTAGAAGCGCAAGCTTGCCCATCTTGTAGCATTGAACTCCAAAGGGAATACCAACAATGGTGATGCACAGCACCAGTGCCAGCAGAAACCAGAGCAGAGCAGGTAGGAAGGACCCACTCACAATCCAGAGGAGGTTGCATACCCAGGCCGCGCACCCACGTTTTCGTTCAACATGGAAGGTCTCTACTTCAGTATCAGGAGAGCTCATTTAGGGATGAAGAGTTATAACTCATGAAGCGGGGAATATGCTCAAGCGAGTTCCTCCGAATCCTCGGCCCTGGGAGTTGCGCCGTACCGAAATCGGCGAATCTTATGACAACACTCAGAGAACTAACATTAGCCGATTTCCACTACGACTAAGCTATAGATCCACCATCAACGAGGCATGAGAAATCCTCACTCATGAGTCACCACCCGAACGACCCCTTTAAACACTGCACTTGATTTACTCACAACGACTGCAGCTTGGTGCTGCTGACAAGTTCAGTGGTATGAAAATGATCTTGATATGTTGTCATCAGGCAGGAGATGACTAAAATCGAGGTAGCCGAAAAAGTACAAAATTTCTTCGTAGCAGAATGCTATTAAACTTCAGTCACCTCGACTGAGTTTCTCAACGCCACTTCGTGACCAAACGGACTGAATGCCAACTTGGCCAGCTTGCAGCATTGTACACCAAACGGAATTCCGATAATGGAGATGAAGAAAATGAGGGAAGCAATAATGTAAAAGACAGCAATGATCAGACCCGGGATAAACCAGAGACAATTACACAAACAACTGCAGCAACATGAGGCATCTTCTTTGTCGCGAACCTGAGTAAAACTGACGTTACCGAATAGCGATGAGAGCATGGTTCCTACTTCATAACCGAAAGGCAGGAAAGATAGCTTTGTCATCTTCCAGCACTGCTTTCCACAAGGTATACCCACTATAGTAATGCAAAGTACACCAGCGAGAACCAACCATATAAGAGCTGTGTACCAGCCAGCGAGTAAGATCCAGAAGAAGTTGCCTAGACCTGCACAACAGCCTCTGCCCTCTTCCTGACTGATAATTATTTCGGTCATAATCGGAGTGTAAAAGCCAACCTTTAAGCTTGGACTACAACACGGTCATCAACACATCGTCTTCTTGTGTGTGATGATTCGCGTGAGCATCAGCATAGACAACAACGACACAAAACAACACAGTTCTTTGACCCGCCGCGGTCATTTGGCGTAACCGTGTTTCCTCATCCCACAAGACCTGTCCCCAAACAGGACTAGCCGTCTAGCTTCTGAGTATAGGGCTGCTTCACATAGAAGAAAGATCAATGAAGCGAATGCAAGACCTACAAGGGTAGATCTTGGCACAAAAAAATCACACATCACATCATGAACTCGTCGGCCGGGCTGAACAAACCCTAGCTTTTAACCGAAGGGTACGACTTGAGACTATCCAAAAACGACGACAGAATACTACAACCGTATTATCGCTCAGAAGAGATGCCTGACTCAAGTTACGAGTGTCAACCCCCTGAATGCACAACACGCATAGTTGAAAGATAACATAGATGCTTGACACATTATTGAAAACGTCACCGCCAAGTGAATTCGAACTTTTTCCACGGCCCGAACGAACTGTTCGAGCTCTCATCGAGTGTAATAGGCCGCATCCACAGATGAGTCGTCTTGAATTCGCGGTCCATGATAAGCAGGGTTTGAGATACTGTGCCATATCTGCGAGATTCACAGATAATCCCACTGAGTGCATTCTCGAGGAACTACGTGATATAGTCTTCGCTTCCCGCCAGGAACGGTGCTCGAACCTTCCACCACTCATGTTCGGCATCCGGTGACCAAGTCGATATCGCTTCTGTCGATGCACCCCACTGATCTGATAGCATCAAGTAGCAGGGCGGAGCCAGAAAGTCAACAACCACCTCTGGAACACACAGGGGTCGAGTGTGACATGACTTCCGCCGTGAGAGCAGCGACCTGCTCTACAGTTGACTCGGGCTGTAGCTCATTTATCAGATCTCGGCCGTGCTCCTCGAGAAATTGCGACTTGGGCCAGGGATGCTTACACCACGGCGCTTCATTTGACTTGGCAAAAACTGAGAACTCCCTTCGCTTCATGACGAGCAGTGGCGTCAACTCATACCTTCCTTTGTGATATTATGAATGGAGTTATCCCAAGTAACAGAGCTCGTCGTAGCTGTCGGATATTTAGGGACATGGTTCTCTACACGAAGGACAGGCTTGGCTGTATACGTATTGCCCACAGAAAATAGAAAATAGGGGTCGACTGAGAATAAGAGAGGACGTTCTAACTACGAGACTGATTATTAAGCCTGATCGAACTGCCAACTCGAGACCGAGTCGCTCACAAACGTAGCGATTTCTCTGTAAGTAAGTGTCAGAGTAAGCGTCCTTGGGAGTGGGCGAAAAAATAGTAATGAAACTTCTTCTACAGTGTTTCGAATGGTCTTGCGTCCGGATGCCCAACGCTGCAGATTCCACAAGGTGTCCTCGTGAAAGCCTATTCGGGTCCTCATCGGGGTAGTGTAGTAAACATCGACAGTTATTGAGCACAGCAAAGCGACCGGAACTCACGTGGAAAGCCATGTCCATACCACCTGAATTACGCATGATAACGGAAGTACATAATATGACCCACCGCCTTGAAAATCTCGCGCGCAACATAAGCCTGTTGAAGTTTCTACGTTGAGTTGGCCGGTCCTCCTTGCGCGTAACTCATCACGGTTATGAGCGATGATGAGTGGGAAGCGCACTTCGAGAGCCTTAGGCTGCAGTGCTAATAGTATGCACATTTAAAAACAGCGTTTCTATCCGAAAGTGTCAGAACTATGTCAACTCAACAGATGTCATGAAATGAGAACTCTGACTCACATAAGCGATATAAGATTCGCACAGTCTGTGCAGTCTACAGCCTTTCCTTAGAGCTTGCCAGCAGCTCCTAGGCGCTCAATGACATCTGGAGTTACGAGCAGAGCCTTAGCGACAGAGACCTATGCACACAATGGTTAGTGGAAGATTACTATGCCGAACACTTACCGCCTTGTCACGACCCTGCAGCTGAGCTACGCATTCTAGGCCGAACTCGATAGCCGAACCGGGTCCGATACTGGTGATAACCTGAACAACGAAAATAGAGCTGATACAGGACTATTAGTAGAAAGCGCAGACTACTCACCTTGTTCGAGACAACGACGCGTTCAGGGCTGAGCTTCTTGCTGATGACATTGCGGAATACAGGCGCGTCATAGCATGTGCATTTCTCGACCTGAGAGCATTCGTGAGATGAGCGAATCCACGAGCTGGACCATCACTCACGTCATCGAGGATACCATTGGGGGCAAGAACGACCGCTGGCGAGGCACAGATGGCAGCTACCCACTTCCCCTCGGTATGCTGGGTCTGAAATACGATCCTCAGCATACCAAAAGAACGAAGACGCGACCATTACCCTGAGCATAGTGCAGAGGAACGCATCACTTCCAAGGTGCTGGGCGCCAGGCATGCCACCAGGGCAAGCGATCAGATCGAACTGCATCTCGGAGACCTAAGCAGGAAAACCATATACTACACCGGCTGAGGCAGCCGACGAGCACCCCTACCTCCTCAAGAGTCTTATCTGCAACAACATGAACACCCCTACTGAGCTTCACGTTGCGATCGCGACCGGGACAGGCAACTGTGACATCACAACCACCACGGGCCTGAGAGAAACTTCATCAGCAAAGCTTATACGCTACACGGATCGGCGTTCCTACCAGCACATCGACTGTAGCGTTGAACTCGATCTCTTCCGAGTCGTTAGCAACGGCAACCAATACAGAAGGCATACTTGAAATGAATATAGTAATATATGAATGAACTGAATACTCAACGAGCTCCGCCTATTCTCACTGTACAGCCAGAGGAAAGCAAACTGTGAAATCTTATGTACATCATACAGCGATAATGAACAGAAAAGAGTTGCGCCAATAGCAAGCAGACATCTCGAGAACTGCGAACATCTCAACTCACACGAGTCCGCCACATCGACCTCAGGGTAATGGGTTTCTACTAGGGGGACAGCAGCACACAATGCAGCTCAAACAGCCCTCAACTACAAGTGTTTTAGCGCTTATAGTTTTTAGCTCTGAGAGGAGCCTCGAGTAGAGCGACTCTGATCTGCACAGGTTGCATTATCATCACACCTAGCATACCACAATTCCTGCAAATATCGCAGGACAACTCAAAATGAGGAAACCGTGTAGAATCGAATAAACCTGCCCTTTGGTGTCATACAGCCTCACGTGGATCTCAACAGGCTGTACGTCCACTACAGCGTCATCACTCCATCCCGAAATCAACCCCACAATCGATGGCGTGCCAGTAATCTCATTCAACTGCGGTATCACCTAGTTCGCAGAGATCTGGGTTGGCAAACAGGAACATCTTTCCTATCCCTACAAGCGTGTCTCAGTTCACCTCCAGCACCCTATCAGTAGTCTTCCACTAACCACTTCGTGCCAACACCACTGCTGACAGGCTAGAACTATAACGCAAGCCGATAGACGACTACAACAAGTGCCGACTTCACCATCGCAAACATGCACGCTCACTCCACACAGACTCCACGCGGCTGGGGCTCTCTGAAGGCTAGCTGCACTAACTAGAGGTAGTGATACAAGCAAAAGTACAACAAAAAGAGACAACTGTACAACGCCGCTTCCTCAACTTCACAGTCGAGTGCTAGCTGAGAAAATACCAACATCCAATAGGGAAGAACATACGCCAATTCCTCACCGGCCAACGTAGTATTGCTGTCGCCCTCAGCTGCCTGGCTAGAGGCTTTCATCATGAATATTGGATGGAGCCTCTTCACCGAGGAGACTGAAGACGCTTGTGATGCCGAGCTGAGGGAACTAGACTAGACCAATTGAACTACTGCTGGCTGCACAAACCTAGCCGAGACGGTAGAGCCCTCACTGGTTGGCCTTGTGGACATCTTGTTGCGATACGGTGTAAATGCCTGACACCGAAAATGTTCAATCGTCCCCCTTTCCAGACTCCCCTCTCACCGCTTGGATTCTCCTGTCTATCGCCTCAATAGCTTCCTCAGGAGACACAACGGTCACTGGCAACTTCACGCGACAAGGACCTGGCAATGGCAATTCCACCAGAGTGCGGTACGAAAATTATCTACTTCCCGGTCTATCTCCACGACCACTCACTATCGATGAGGCCGGGGACCCTATAGAGCCTACAAGCCCATTTATAATGACCATCATTTTACGCTGCGAGTCTTACCACTCGTACCACACGTGGACTCCTTATCGACATTATAGCACGACCGTACTTTATCCCTCATAGTCACTCGCTGACAAACGGAGACGATATTTTCGGGCCCACTACAGCATGCTACCTTCCTCACTACGGGTCGCGTCAGCCTCCTCGTAGGTTTTCGAGGCTCCCCCTTTTGCTGTTGCTGCAGATACCACAACACGCCGGCAACGATGATCCCGAGGATGAAGGCACACAGCATCCAACCTGCACAAGCTCAGTAAGTCTCCGTCACGCGCCACGAAATTCCCTACTCAAAAATATCAGATGCACAGAAGTATCCGGGGATCCAGCTGGTCTAAGAGAAGTACCAGCAACCAGCGGCTGGAGTACCACCTGACCGCCCCCAGCACCCGGCGGAAGACCTCCACCATATCTAGCAAGGCACACGTTAGGTATCCTCTGAAGAGACTCCCATTGACTCACTGCGAGAGCACGCCTTTAACCGTCTGCATGTAACCATTGATCGTCTCCTCTGTCTGAGCCTGCAAGACGTCGCTCGCCCGACCACTGCGAGCCACACTGTCGACTCGCAATGCCGACGGATTCCCTCGTATCGCCATCGCAGCTACTGCGATGGAAGAGGCCACCAAAAACATGACCAAGAGGCTCATGAGAGAGTATTGTAAAAAAGGGGGCCGGAATCTGATCCAACATCACAGTAATCAACAAAAGCATAAATCAACCAGAAAAATGGAGCCGCCCGGATTCGAACCCTCGCATTCACAGCAACACAAGGCAATGCTTCCAACACGCTGGTAAGACCCATGGTAAATTAAAACGACGACGGATAGCTCCGCAGTCTCTTCTCCAGTATTCTCAGAAGCACAGCTTTAACTAATTTAAGGCTCACAGGCTCAGGCTCAACACACCCCTTATCTGAATTGGAAACACCACGTCCTTCATGATGAGTCATGCGGCGTCGGCTTCCTACTACCTTCATCGCTTTCGGACTCTTCCCCCTCGAGAGCGTCATTGAGACGATTGAGCAAATGTCCTACACCGACAACAACTATTCAACCACACTAACATACGACACATGAAAGGCCTCACCAAAGGCAATCCCATTGATACGTTCTTCTGACCACGTCGGGACTCTCCCTATACAGTCGAGCTGAGACGAACGGGAATATAATAAACCAGGCCGGGCCATGCTTACAAGACTAAGCTGAGCGCCTGGAACATCGCCGCCTCTTGTCCAGAAGTACTTCCAAAAGAATCCGACGAACTCCTCCAACGTCACCTCCCCCTTCTGATCAGTATCCAGCATCTTCCAGAACTCCTAAGAGTGAGAACCGCCGCAGCATCCATATCATCTGAGCTCCCCAAGGGACTACCTCCAACCTCCTCGCAGGGATATCATACTTGTCCTTAGCACCAAATACGTTCCGAATAAAGGTATTGAATTCCTCCTGCCCAACAGATACAGTCAGGGCCCTCTCGCTGGACAGTTTCTCACCCTGTCAATAGTCCCCGAGTTATCCGCATCGTAGCTGTCGAGCTCCTTCTTCACCTTCTCTACATCGAGAATGCTCATACCATATTTCTGAGAACATCATACAAACACCATGCATACGAGGATCGAGTCTTCCGAGACAGATTTGCCACACACTGTAAGGATAGCGCTCCTCCACGGACCTTAGCTAGTTTCATAATCGCCGCTCTTCATCACTGATGAGGCCTGTGAATATCGTCGGTAACATATCGTACGTCGGCCGCACATATCCCCGCCGAGCTTTGTCGCTGAATCTACACACGAAAAGCTGTCCCCCTAGTGGATGTGATCCCTGTCCTACATAAAGCCAGGAGCCCAACGGGGCATCTTCGGTCGCTCCGCCACTCGTATGCTCTTAGTCGAGGACGCATAGCTGCTGGACTTTTCACTGTCCGTCTCCTCCTCGCCCTCCTCCTTCTCCTCCTCTTCCTCACCTTCCTTTTTATCACCATCATCACCATCATCGTCGACCTCCCCTGTTTTCTTGTGATGCACTGAGCAGCACACATGAGCTCTCCCAAGAGCAACAACCAAAAACACAAGGAAAAACTCAGTAGCTCAGACCGCATAGAACTACATTTGTCAATATGTTGTGGCTGCAATGATCGGCCACGCGAATGATCGGCTGAGGGGTCATGATGCTCGTGCTCCGAAAGTTCAAGAGTCGCGCTCTTCCCGTTGAGCAAGGCCCCCCGCCTAAACATCATAGAACAGCAAGTCCATGACCAGCAATAAATCCACAAGAGCACTCCTACCCGGACCTGAGCGGTACCGATTGCTGGGCCGGATCCAACTCAGCAGCAGCCGCCGCCTCAGCTTCTTCTTCTTCCGCAGCAGCAGCAGCAGCAGCCTCCGCAGCCGCTCTCTCCTCCTCTTCCCTGAGACCAACAACCTCATAGTAGAGCCCCGCTCCAGTTCTCTTTCATAAAATACACAGAAACTACTTCCTCGCGATCTCTCGTTGTTGCCTCTGCCAGACCTCGAACGAAGTGGTCTTTCCTCGCTGTTGGCCCATCTTGACATAGTCCGGCCGACCTACACAACCCAGCTGACATCTAAGGTGCTACCAAAAGTGACTATTACAAGAAGCGATCCGACTAAATATGGACGGCACCTTCTTCTTACGAGGCATCCCTAAAGTGATAACAATGGCAACACGCGGTCGTTAACAGGTGTCCCACTCATGGCCTCGGTCCCCTCCTTCTTCCGTTCCTCTCGAGTCTTAGGAGTGCGAGGCACTGTCGGCTTCAATGGACCCATGAAACCACACGGACCGCGCTTAGGCCTGAACACACGCCTCACACTCACCGATGGGACGACACTCCACTACCTCTTGGGCGTAACGTATAAGCTTCTACTACGGGCTGTTGGCGCTCTCGAAAGCTTTTCTGCGAGCGTGAGCCTCAACACAGTAAAAGCAATAACTTATCAAAGAGGACAGAGCGCCTACCTAGTGAAACGAGGCTGCTGCTTTCCTCCTATCGGGATCTTCTTCCAAGACCGGGAAGTCCTACCAGCCAGATGAATCCAAGCTAGACTGATGGGCTTACTCTGCAGCGACAGGCCTCGGCCCTCCACAACAGGAGGGTGTTCCCACACCTCTACTAGCATACGTCTTCCACGACCGGGACGTCCTACCATCCAGAAGAATGGGAGGGTGACAAGCCTTTTGACAGAGCCTACTGAGCAGCCTCTGGCCTCGGCGACGAGGCAGAGGACGACTTCTTCCAAGACCGAGAAGTCCTAAGAGAGACGCCACTGAATATGTCATCAACTTCAACACACAGCGCATGCAAGCACAGCACTGGTCGATAGTGAGCCTACTTAGTAGCAAAGGGCGTCGCATCACGACGGTGTGGAGGCAGAGCAAGCTCCTGTATCATCCTTCTGATGCTTTTCTTCGTCCCAGCAGGCTTACGACGATTCCTATATCCAGTATATCTACAAAGAACCTCAGCAAAATTGCAAGCTCGGAAAACACCATCACCCGGCACTAACAAGACCTCTCCTCCGGATGGGGTCTTGGGCGTAGCGTCCTTGGTGCTCGGATTCGCTCGTCCGTGCTGTCTCTAGCTCCTCCCGCTGTACGACCCATCGCTCGTAACTAAATGACCACAGTCCACCCCTATCGCGAATTCGACCAACGTACAGCATCTCTGGTGTCATGCTGGCACCTATAATATCCGCCAGCTCGAAAGAGTACAGCGGTCTGCCTTGAGGCTCTTTACGTTCGAGCGACGGCGAAGCCATGGTTATATAATGAACTACTGATCAGCCCACGACACATTCAGACATGCAACAAGCTCACTACCCTCTGGGTAGTATCCCATCAGTCATAGTTCAACCGTTGGTAATAGTGAGCAACAATACCCTTCGGCACAATAGACACTGCGGTATTAGTCACTTGCCCAGAGACCCCTCCCTACAACGAAAGAGAAACTCGAAACGTATTATCCACATCGAACAGAAGCCTTGAGAATCTCGATGCATACTGAATGAGACATTATGGCTTCGGGCTACGAAGCAGTGACCTAAGTACTGTACTATCAATTCCGATGCGTTGTTACTGCAGTTTGCACAAATCCACGAGACCCGAGGTTCGATTCCCCCTTGAGACATTTTTCCGCAAAAAAATACGGGCGAGCTTCTCACTCTGGAAATTCCCTAAATTCGAGCGGACAGTCGAATACATAATTGGCCAGCGATAACAACACAAATCTCCAATAGAGAGAGTAGAAACAACTAACACATGACAAGGCGAACTCATTCATATATCAGCCCATTGCCACTGCGCCATGCAAACCTACACAGAGGGACCAACTTTTGAACCATAACACGTAACGCACGTGCCTGTTGTGGAGACATGTGCCATAGCAATGACCGGTTCTTGAGGAGGTATATGGTCGTGAGGTACAGCCTAGTAGCGAGAATGAAGCATGCGCAGTCCTTCGTTATGCTGACCTTCGCTTCTCGAGAGCAGTCAAGTCGTGCGCTCCAGTGAAGACTGTTTTCCATACACTATGATAGAACATCCCCAACCGCATAGCCAGCGGGACATCATCACTGTGTGTCGTTGGACCAACCTCAAGAGTTCCTGCTATAGACACAGGCAGTTCCTAAACCACCAGAAACGTAGGCAATAGACACGGTAATGACTACCTCGGGGGAGTCTCGGGACTCGGATGATGTTCTCAAAATTGCGAGGCACAGCAAAGCAAGCTTCGTCCAGTGTTTGCGACATGCCAACTAGAAGGCGCTCCATGCGCTACAGGCGAGAACTCGAAATCCGTTATACAAGCCAGAGAGCTGAGCGTGGCTACATGAGTCTCCATCCCAACACTCGGTGTTGGTACCCCAGCCATCCGTATCCACTGGTCTAGGAGCATGTATTGCCACTCCAGAAGGTCATCTGCCAACGACAAGAATGGCCCTACCATAATCGGGAGTCGACTTACTCGCCAGCCAACTGCCGAAGGGATATCCGTCAACTGATACTCTTTGAAATATTAGCCATAAGTTCATCCCTGTCCAATAAGCTAGTGGGATGATCTTGCAGTATTCGCCATCATCCGGGACCTACCATACAAGCAGTAACTTTCCATGGCATCAAATGAGCACCATCTACATCTTTCCAGTGCAGAGTTTTCTGTATCTTCACCTTGCGATCCAGAGTGCTGGGAAATCCAAGTTTGGGAAATTCAACTCTGTCGTATACCCGCTGGACCAGGCCGTTCACAATAGTCGAAGAAAGCCTCGCTCTCTGCATGCACCGCATCACCCACTGACGAGGACGACCACCGATGAGACACGATAGCTGCCTTAAAGGACATACGAAAACTCCATCGTTGAGTTCTGCTTCAGGCAAAGCCTCCAATTCCTCTGTAGTGAAGCGTATCCGGTCGTCAGCAAGGATGGTCCGACCCGCAGCCAGGATAACAGGCACCTCCTCGAGTGGATAGTCAATTTGAGCATCAAGCGCTCGACTACCACACCTTGTGAACCTAGACATGACAATGCAACAAAGAATCCCGGAGGGACCGAATCAAAAGTAATCACGTCAGCAAACAGAAACATCACTGATAGTGACACCGATCGGTCTGGCAAAGTTTCGGCGTCAGAGCGTTTCCACTCACACCCTATGTGTATTTGGTAGCGGAGGCTCCCCGAGGTCTCGATAGTGTTTCCCCTCAAGGGTTGCAGCCGAGGAGTACAACCGATACGGCGGCCTGCAAGACCGAATCAGAAAGATTGGGAGGCCTTGTAAGTGGCGCTGGGTGAGCATTGGAGCAAACTGTAAGCGTGCACATGTCACACGCGGAGAACTTCAGCCGACGTCGAGGAGAGAAAATTCCCGTGAAAGAGGCTCAGGTTAATGCGAACTCCCCCTCTTCATTAACCCAACTGACGCGAACAGTGCAGAGCAAAGAAAATGAAACACATAATACAAACAGGCAATGGCCATATGGTGCTTTAGAGTCACTTCAGCGTACACGGATACGTCTGCCATCTAAGCATGTGGGCAATCCCGAAGCACAGGTAGGCCGAGTCCGGCCGTTCGGTAGGGTTGGCCAGAGCCGTCATGTTAAGGACTTCGCGAACCCCGTCACGGTCAATTGGTGGGAACCGCGCAAGATGGCCCTCGAACCAAGGATCACACCCAGAGAGTGTAGATGGCCACGAGCGATGGAGATGCGCTTGCATGCCAGTGACGAGGGCCCAGAGCAAAGCACCCCAACTGAAGATGTCACACTTGTCATCGTACTCCGGGCCAGCCCGGACTTCCGGTGCACAGTACCCAGCGCTACCACAGAACGTCCTGCATTTGACATCAGGACTCCTTCGCCAGATAGCCAGACCGAAATCACACAACTTGGGATTGTAATTCAAATCAAGAACCACATTAGCCGGCTTCAAGTCTCGATATACTATCCACAGCTCATGGAGGTAGTTCACCGCCTGTAGCACTCTGGAGGCCATACCAAGGGCCACTGTGGGATCCACTGGGTTGTTTCTAGACATGTAAGCCGCCAAGTCGCCATGAATACAGTACTCGAAGACAAAAGCCCAAGTATCAGCCGTCTCGTATGCTCCATAGAAAGTAACTATATTCTGGTGACTTATACCACTGACGATGCGAAGCTCTTCAGCAGCTTTAGCAGTGAGGCCTCTCCGACGATAGATGCTCTTGTTCAAATACTTCAGGGCAAACTCACGACCAGTGGACACGTCGAAGACCCACACGCAACGACCAAACTCGCCCTTCCCGAGCTCAGCACGCTCTCGGAAGCGCTCTATACAAAAGGGAACAGACGGATCAACACAGTCTTCAAATTCATCATCGGATTCAGTCTCCAGACCGACATCGATTTCCTCTACTTCCTCGGCGAGGCGCTTCTGCAACTGGTACTCGAAGAAAGGCAGGAGGCAGCGATCGCTAGGATGAGACTTATTGTCCGATACCTTAATCTCACTGAGTGGTACACTAATCGGTCGGACAACAGCAATCCAGCCTTGGCAGGTGAGATATGATAACAACAGTACAGCAGTGGTTAATGCGTACTGAGGAAATGCTATCAACAGTATCACGCCGATCACTAGCCGAGAGAGTACATATATGGCCCGAGCTCGTCTGGCAACTGCAGCAACTCCAAATGCATTCACAAATAATGTTATATCACAACACGTTGCACCCAGACAAACGCACAACTGCCGCAAGTCACAGAGCAGCTCCGCATCTTCCCAATGGGCGGCAGCACCAACTCCCAAGAGCCCAAGCAAGGGCCAAGGGCGATAGTCGCGTAGGACATGTACTCCATGAAGGCTCAGAGCAACTTCTATGAGTCGCAAGAAAACGGCTTCGCGCAGCCTATGTGGTGGATCCATGGTGACTGCTATGTGGACCGCGTGCAGTACTCCTGCTAGCGCCATACACCAGAAAGGCCCCGGAAATAGAAGCATGACTGGGAGCATCTGCGTGACGAAGATGTCGGTTCCCAGACGGAACTGGTACAGGAGGATATAGGACACTATAGACAGCAGAATCTCAGTGAGCTCTGGGTCGGGAAGGCTCCTCACTCTAGATGCCTTACTGGCTAAGCATGAAGTAGCGACTATGGCAGTGGCGTAGTGTAGCACATGACGCAGTGTGAGTCTCCGGTGAAGATTCGTCATTTATGGACCATTGCCAGGGACCAGAACTATCGCAGCGTCATTCCGTAACACAACCATCAACAGGAAACTACGTGGACAACAGTTGGCTTGTCAAGACGACATGAGATTCTACATAATCGGCTCCTCATCCCGAAGCTCTTTCGGAACTCGCACACAAGATGAAGTCGCAATTTGGACCTGACCAGATAGCACTAAAGACTCGGTCCACGATGAGCAACTCACCGCCCTATGAACTGGCAACCGTTTGTTGTCTCTCGCCGCCAGTAGTCGCCCTGAACCACGGGACGAAATCAGAGGCTCGAGCCAATAAGAATGGTCTTACCTATCTGCTGGAGGAGTTTCGCGGCATTTTCAGAGCTACACAAAAGGAAGTCTTTGAAGCCCGGGTCGATGAACATCAAGTACTGCAAATAGCGTCGGATCTTGAGCCGTACCGAAGGTGTTAATGTTGGTGACTCTCTCGGCAAGTACTGTGGAAACAAAACATTGGAATTCCACCCGTTTCACGCGAAGTGGCGTAATAGTCTATGAAAAACACGATATTCGCAGTGATATGCAGTAGCCGTGAAATATATTTTTCACTAAAGTTTTTCATATCACTAGGGTGAAACTCTAATGAACCAAAACCGACAAAAACACACGGAAGAGAAATGCTAGCACCCAAGCCTTGACTGAAGTTCGAGTTTGAATGAACATAAGAGAGATCTATAGCCGAGACCTACGCGAGTGCATATGAGCTTGAGCAAGTTCTGTTCGCGGTCCGTCATCGGGACGGGCATCCAGCCAGGAGGTTCTCTCTTCTCACGAGCTCTGAGAAATGCTCCTATGCTATACAGATAACATGGACGATCAGTTTTTACTTCTCAATACCACTCGGATCGGAACTAACAGAGCGCTTGCGACTTCCCCGGTCCAGTCTATCAATAGTTGGATCCTCCTTGGGGACCAGGTGAGGGTACTTATAAAATAACGCAATGTTGTTCACCTAGACGAAAATGCACCGGAAAAATTCGCTTCTGCTTTACCTTTCTGATCCCTTCGCCGAAGAGTTCCTTCCGACGTACCCATTCCAAGTGACTGAGCGGTGGATGGACTATACTCATCGTTCTTTGCTTCAACCATTGCTCAAACAACGGCGACGCTTCGGAAGGCCCTGATCGCATAGCCGGATCGATCCCGGCAAGAGAGAGAGGAGAGCCTCTGAAAAATGCAAAGCTTGGAAGCCGTCCCCTTGAACACAAGGCAGCCTCTGTCGGACTTTAATCTAAATAAATTGTCAATGTTCTTAATGAGTCATGCTCCATGGACTAATAAAGCACTTCCCTAGGAATTCTATGACCAATTTTTTACACTCAGTAAAGCTCGGCCAGATGCACACTCTGAATGCCATCATTAACGGCAGTGAAGTTACGAAAAGCTGCTCGTGCCATTTATAGGATACTCCGAATTCTACACAGTCTCGAGAGCTCACTTTGACCATGAGCAGAATTCTGTGGAGTTGAAGATCTCATGTATATCCCTATAGCTTTGAGGTGTCAGCCTACGATTAACTCGAGGAGTGGTACTGCCCTCTCCCCCTATTGGCTTCAACAAAATGGCCGTTGGTACCAAGTACAACCAATTCTCAGAACATGATGAACAACAAGTACTCTGAAGTGAGCCAATAACAGGCACACTGCAGGGGACCACGTTGGAGAATGCCGACCTCCGCTGGCCAGAATCATCTCGGCCGTAGGACTTCAGCGCTCACTATTCTGCACAGCTCATTCGACACTGGCATTCCTCCTGCTAGGACCATAGGGAACTCAAAGGCCTGCAGCAGAAGTCAATCATATCCTCAGACGAACGCTGACCTTGGAACCGATTTCTCGTGGGTGGTAGATGAGCTCAGTCTGTACAGTATATCCCGGCGGGATGACCAACTTGTATGCTCCAGGCTTCTCTCCGTCACTCCCAGGACAGTGCTCAGAAGTATCCTCGTCGCTGATTGCAGTACCTGCTAAATGAGCCACTCACGGCTTGCTCCCTCCGCCTTGTCACTCACCAGTATTCTTGTGCCCACTTATCTCAGCAGCTAGCTCCTCAGCACTCATGGCCGTCATGAATCGCACATCGGTGTCGGATAAATCCACGACCTTACAGGCCACATTTTTGAGTCATTATTCGTTCCTTGGCTACCTCATTGTCAGCATCCAGTACGTTCACCATCTCCAGAGAAAACTCGGGGTACGAGGCGAAGTTCGCGTAAACAGCAGATTCCACAATTCCTGCGTTCACCAAGGTGCAGCTGAAAGCACACTGTCCCTCAGCAACGGCCTTGCCATCCCTCTCACGGTGTCGCCGAAATTCCCCCCAATGTGAGGGTGCCAAACGGAAGTTCCTCTTCAACGATTCTGATGTCCGGCAGAACTAACACAGCCTGTACTGGTACCCTATGGAGAAAGGACACTCACAGGGATGTTACTAAACAATGCCCAGTGGACACGACATGCTACTCACCGTATGGGTTTCCCAGCGCGTACTGCCAGAGTGATGTTGCCGTCAATTTGACTCGGCTCGAGAACGGTCAATTGCACAATCAGCCCGAGGCGCCCACGAACCGGCAATAAACCACGACGAGGTTTAACTTCCACTCCGACGGGAACCTCAGCCACCTGTCACCATTGAGCATTTTGCCTGGCGTTTCGGCTACCTCACCCTGAACGCCGCTGAATGCTGGCCCGTGTTGCCTACGATGACCGTGCGCGTGTGTATCATACCACAAGCTACCGTACCGAAGTCACACCGCTTCGTCACGAATCGACACGAGGCCGACGGGCAGTGACCGTGGACTTTAACGATCCTTTCCACCCCTAAAGCGGTACCATCATCAGCATAACAGTCATTTGAATACCATACCATCCTCAACTCGCAATGTCAAGGTACCCTGGACTGGTTTGCCGTCTGCAGGTGGCGTGAATACTATTTCCTGTACCGAATGGGAACTGAGACGCTACAGCGTAACCGCTCTACAAGCTCATCATGCTCACTTGGGACATATGATAGTCGCGGTTGTACTATCGATGGATCTCACAGAAAAAGAATCCGGGTGAGAGACCGTCCATGCATAGGTAGCCGCGGCGTTACCCTGAATCGACCAGCATCCCCAAGGGTCAGTAAACCATCACCCTACATCGTTTGACAAGCTGATGCGTTTCACCAAAGTCTGATTGAGATCATCATCGCTTACACGGAAGTCGAGCTTGCTCTCCGAAACGTTCAACTGCGGAGAACACGGTAGAGACGATTTATTCATTGGTCGTACAGTAACCGGAATGACCGCCGCCTTGACGAGGAATTTTCGCTTGTGCTTCCCATTGATAGTGACAGTGACTGGACACTGGAACTGCTGGACTGCAGCCGAGCTCATAACGATATCAAAGCCACCAGCAGCAGCCGAGGGGATCACCTAGGAGTGTGATAAAAGACCATCAAAGTGGGAACGAACGATGTACTTGAGAAACAGGAGAGCTGTTCGAAAGCTCCTCGATAGCTGCTGTCTCTACCGTGACCACCACTGACGAGGCCAAGTCGTTGAATACAGAAAAACTGCGGGTAGCCGAGGACCGGACCTGAACGGCTCACAACAGCTGAGCAGGACCGAGAGCAACATGCGGGCAAGCCTCACAAAGATTGTTCCAAAGTCAAGGACGCTAGGACCACAGCTGATCAAGGCCAGTTGCCACGGCTCGAGGAACTGCCCACAATCGCTGATCTCGGTTTCTGTCGATGGTCGCGACTTGTGCTTTCTCTCTATCGCTTCCATATCGTCATGCGTATAACTACATAGGACTGTCATATACATATGCGAGCCGTGTGGACTTGCCTTCTCCCGGTGACACCACGATATCTTACTGTGTCACCACCCCCAGCTGGTCTCAGCTCATACAGCTTATCATGAACTATCCCGTCCACTGATAACCTCAGGTCCTTCAGCTTCCTGTACATCCCCAGATCGATATCATCCTCATCAAAAATATCCACTTCTCGGGATTTTGATTTTCCATCAAGCCTTGGCGGTTTCCTAATGCACTCGTTATAGACTTCCCTATTCAACAAATGCTCCCGCATGCCACTGGGCGAGAGTGTGAACTGTGTCGTATATCCTGTTCGGTCCAAGAGAACACCCCGCAGGACCTTCGAAGACTCCGCAAAGTCTTGACCTGCGATTACCACACGGGACCAATACAAAACACTTCCCAGTAACTACCAGTAAGTCCCTCTTTCAGCAAGCCGGTCAATGTTACCGGCCTTCCTCCCCGTTTACCCACACTAGCCAGTGCTCGCTGCGCCTTCACATCCTCCTCATCCACGAACCGATACCGCGGCGCGAAGTCCTCCGCGATTGCCTCTAGCCCTTTGCGTTTTTTCTCCCGACCTCCCACAGCGGTCTCTCCCCACCCAATGGCGTACACTGTTATACTGTACAAATTCTCGCAGTACATGATTTTGATGTCCCTTTGGTGATTCCCAAGTGCCTTGGGCGAAAACGTTATAACAACCTCCTGTGCCATTAACGGTCCCTACAACAAGATGAGCATGCAGAGCAAAAGAAGGCTCTCATTCACAAGCCAGCGAACAAAGCCTTCTACATCACCAATACATCCACACACTATAAAAATTATAATCGTTAAAACTTGTTCATAATTGATACATGATTATAATTTATAAAATGTCATTAAGTGCACCGCTCCGCTGTTCACCGTTCCAAATATCACAGAGCACTCGAAAGATACGCCTATGATATTCCCTATATGGGAGTCTGAGTATATTTCAGTGATTCTCATCATTACCACTCCACCCCTCAATTTCTCAAACGAGCCCCCAGAAGGCAGATCCAACAAAGAGTAGATCTCCGTGAAATTCAACCCCCCCCCCACTAGTCCAGCCTATTACAATCCTCCCTCCAGCCGGCTCGACCCTGATGTGGGAGATACCAGGCACTGCCCAATCGATAGGTAGCGAGGCATGCTCGTTGCGAAGGGTGACCACAAAGTCCCTCCGATCACCACTAACAAACACACAGCACCTACAGACGCCCGCAACAATCTGACCGTAGCATTACACAGGGCAGCCGCCAAAGTCCAGAGAGGATCGGGAGACCGTGAGTGCAGGCACCTACGGCAAGAGAACCATCCGAATCGGCTCAAGCTCTGCCCTCTAGCTCACAATGCCACTGCCAACAACAGGTCGGGCGAGCGCTAAATCCGGCAGATGCTCGGAATTAACTTTCACTATACACCTATACTGCGTGACGATCTCCTGGGCCACTCGGGTGGACTTGAAGCCTTTCTCCTCCATATATCTACGTGGACCGAGGATCATAGCACACACTACAGTGCAGGGCAGCTTCTACTGACTGGACACGATGAGTTGCTAATCTTAAGAAACTGATATCCTAGTGGAGTAGATGGAGGAGAGGTCACTAACATCCACCGTTCCTCGACGTGATGAACGAGGCAATTTAATAGACTAAAAACTGACCCCTCGTGAACTGATGTACGTCATAACGAGTCCAACTAACACGCACCGTGGGGACGATGCGGATCGGAAAGACTATTTATTCTCCATCTACTTCACTAGCACACACCAGAGAGAGAGAACAATACCAAACGAGCTCACCTGGGTGGATGAAATGATACGTGGAGGATGATCGTATCGAAGGCCTACAATGAGCGCATCCACGACCCTTTAAAAACTCCCAGTCTACCTCGACAACACCACCTGTAGGAGTCACCTCAAGTACTCCAGGTGGGACCTCGCCAGCTTCCTCTATAGACACACAGAAGGGCAAACTGAGTGCCCCCTTGTTGATCAGGCGGATCTTGCTGGTCTTCCGGAGGCCACAATAGACCTATGCAAGGCTTCATCTCAACTGAATGGAGACCTTTCGAGTACTACCTGACCCAGATCTACCACGTCAGGGTCGGCGCCTTCGACTACCATCTCTAGGTCTTGTTTTATGAATGTCCCTACGAACGTCTCAACCAACGTAGAAGGAAAACGACTTACCCATCAACTGCAGACCAGCAGGCGTATTCTTCCCGCCCATATGGACATCATACCGCACCTCGAAAGGATTACCGGTGGTCGAAGAGTCCAAAGCAGTAACTGTGGCCATCACACGTAAGCTGCCACCTGAGACATCGAGCACACTAGAAGGCTTCTGGTGGGATTCATATCTATTCGATGTGGGTACTTCCTAAAACCATTGATAGTGAACACGGTGTTGGAAAGACCCACGAGGGGCGGGATGGGCTCAATTCTGTTCGCCTCGTAGTTTTTATAATGTCGACCTCCATAACTTTACGACTTATAAACAGCCATACGCGAGTTAGATGGCAAAGTTCGAGGAGGAGCGGTAGGAGCATATTCGACACGGAATCACCTGGAGGGACTGTTGACGATTCCGGCTGAATCCGGACTTCAACTTTTCCTGCACTCCCATTGTCTTGCTGGACAAACGAGAACTCTTGCTCCTCCGGAGAGCCTGCCAACAAGAATGCTGCGGAATTAATTGTCGCCGGGATAGTTGCATAAATTCACCCACAAGATTCCATCAAAGGCCATCCTCAGTTGAGAACTTTCACACGCGTAGTCGACTTCCCATACCCAGAAACGACATAGTTTTCCCCCTTACCGTTTCGAAGGAAGATGTGTCGGGATGAAGGCCTATGATGGGGAATAATCCCGAAGTTGATCACCTCCGAGGAGATATTCATGAGAAGGAAAACTAAAATGTCTTTCCAGGATCACTACAGGCCGACCCCTGCACAGCGCAACGCCTCCGTAACCTCTGCTACATAACTGAAGAAACCGATTGTCGAAAATTCTGTTTGGGGACATTTTCAATCCTGAATGACGCAAATATACTTTCCTGGCAGTTCTCATCAAAGTCAAATTCATCCTCGGCTTTCCGTCGCTTCCCCAAAGTGGCCTCAAGGGGCGCCCCAGGACAGGCAATAGCCGCCGCCCACTGGTACTCAGCCACGAGGTCCGGCCCACCGAAGATGAGCTCGATGACGAAGTTGGGGGGATTGTCGGAGGGCACCTCTACCGAAAGCGGCTC